GCTCTAGCTCTGGCCAGGAGCAGCCCCTGCTGTGTGTGCTGATCCCCATGCTGGTGGCTGGCCAGCCTTCCTCTCCCTCGCTGGGCTCCCCAGACCACCCTCGAGACGCCGGCAAGCTACTTACTAATTCAAACCGAACCACAAAGTCGATAGACGTCGTGTTTATTGGCTCTCTGCTCTGCAGGTCCCAGGTGCAATCTGAGATCACGTGGGCACCAGCCCCAAGGCAGAGCAAGCAGCTGCTGGCGCGGAGAAGTGAGTATCTAGAGGGGGCTGGCTAGGATGTAGGTGTCCTTCCTGGACGCCTCCTCCCGGCCACAGGCTGCAGCAGGGCAGCCGCAGGGTGTCAGGCTCTGGCTAGTTCAGCAACTCTGAGTGGGCTGGAATGGAGAGCGCAGATCTTGGATTGTTCCAGATGGATCATCTCCCGGGGTGGGGGCTGGGGACGGGACCTTCGGCCTGAGCCCACGAGCCCCACAGCACGAATGCTGCAGGAAGCCGGCCGGGGGCCAGAGCGCACAGAGGGCACTGCTACTGACCCCTGCTACTGACCCCCAAGGGTTTTCTGTCAGGGCCCCCGCTATTCGCCGCGGAGTTAATGCGGGACGAGCCCCGCTGCTATACACTTGCCTGGGATTCCCCGGCCAGTCACTGCTCTGAGCCGGGCTGTGGGCTCCTCTCAGAAGGCTCAAGTCCCACCTTGCTGGCAAGAGAAGCTCTGTGAAAGCTCCAGGCTGGCCCACGGAGAGGCAGCTGCTCTTGCACCTCCAGGGGTGAAGCTACGTCCTAGTGCAGTCACCCAGACCCAAGAGGATGGGCCCACCCAGGGGCCATTTCTCCATTTGAAGGTCAAAGCGGGGGCTGCTCTGACATGGGGGGGGTGTACCGGCTAAGACAGGGGGTCCAGCCCTGGGGGGCAGGGGCTGTTGTGCCCAGGGGCCTCTGGGGACAAGGGGCTCTTGGCATGCGAGCGGGAGCGGGCAGTGTGTGTCAGGCACGAGCCCAGGCCAGGACTGAGGGACACGGAACAGGCCTCCCGGCACCGGGCCTCCCTTGTTCCAGGGGCTGCGCAGGGCAGGGCGGAAGCTGGCGCTGCACTGGAGTGGGCGGTTGGCAGCGTGGGGAGAAGGCAGCTTGTGCAGAGGCGTGCCAAGGGCTCGTGCCCACTGGCCCTGCCGCGGGGAAGGCGCTTTGCTTCGCAAGGGGAGAGGTGTGTGCCCACCGCCGCATTTGGGAGCGCGGAGCAGGGAGCCCGCCCCAGGCTGCTAGGGGTCAGGGAAGAGCAGGAACCCAGAGAAGATGCTGTCAGCCCCCTCGATGCCCACCAGGGAGTTCTTCTCGGTGGGCTCCAGCCACACAGACTCCCCCTGCTGGACCTGCAGCACCACGCCCCCGGTGGTGACTTGGTAGACGTTGTGCACGTAGTCGCAGAAGGTCACCACCTTCTCCCCCTTGGTGTCCTTGCCCCTCTTGATGTGGAGGCACAAGCTGCCCCGGGAGGTGACGTGGTAGGTGAAGTAGTAGAGCCCCGGGACCTGGCAGGTGAAGCGGCCGTACCGGTTCTCGTAGTGCCCGTTCTCGTTGGCGATGACGCGGTCGAAGCGGACGGGCTGCTCCCGCCGCGGCAGCATGCTGATGGTCCGGGCAGCTGAGAAGGCCGATTTGGCAGTGGCCTTGAAGTCCCCAGATTCACCCTTGGGCCCAGGAAGACCCGTGGGGCCTGAAGGGCCCTGGGAGCCTTTGGGGCCTTTGGGGCCAACTTTCCCAGGGTAGCCAGGGCTCCCTGGTGCACCCTTCTCTCCCAGCTCCAGCTGATCCTCCGCCCCCCCAGGGGCACCTAGGGGACAGGAAAAAAGAGTCACAAAGGGAAGGCTCACAGGGCTCGTCAGCCCCATCTCCTCGTAGGCAGGTTCCTGGCTGCCCCCTCGAGCCGTGCAGCATGTGGGAGGCCCCCCAAAGTCATGCTGCCAGCTCAGGGCTGGTGCACGAGCAAATGCCCCTCCAGCTCTGGGCGGCTAAGACCTCTACCCTCACACGTCATGGTGCAGGGACCCTGGTGCCACCTGTGCCCCTGCCCCTCGCACGGGGACCCTGGTGCCAGCTAAGACCCCCACTTTGCCCAGCATTTCCCTGGGTGGCGATTTGGGGATGGATTCCCAAATCCCGTCTGGCAATTTGCATCAGGGCGGGGATGGGGGGTCTGCCCACAGGTGGGTCCCAGGTGTGCGCAGGGTAGAGGCAGGCTCCAGGCTCTACTCACTCGTTTGAAGGGGCACAGGGCTGGGCGCAGGCTGGGCCCGTGGCTGCAGGACACTTTGCCCAGCATTTCCCTGGGTGGCGATTTGGGGATGGATTCCCAAATCCCGTCTGGCAATTTGCATCAGGGCGGGGATGGGGGGTCTGCCCACAGGTGGGTCCCAGGTGTGCGCAGGGTAGAGGCAGGCTCCAGGCTCTACTCACTCGTTTGAAGGGGCACAGGGCTGGGCGCAGGCTGGGCCCGTGGCTGCAGGAGCTAGCCACGTGCTCCCTCCCGCCACCCTGCAGCCCGACGCCCCCTGCCTCAGTGTCCCCTGCCCCCAGCAGGGACCCCTTCTCACGGACACCTCTCCCCTCTTCCTGGTGCCCAGCCGGGCCAGAGCCCCGCCCCCACTGCTCTCCTGGGGGGGTTCCTTGCCCCCAGACTGGGTGGTTCACTCCTGGGACAGGACACCCCAGTTGCTTCCAGCAATGCGTCCTCCTGGCCCAGAGCAGCCAGGCTGGGCTGCCTGACGGGCACTGAACTGCTCCTGGGGCCTCTGGGGCTGAGCCCTGGGAATGGTGCTTCCCGCGGAAAGGCTGTGGGGGTCGCAGTCGCCCCGCTCGGCCCGCCCCAGCCCCCGCCCCTTACCCCTGTTCCCCCTTG